CATGTACGTAATTTTAGGTAAATATTTGTAGTGAAAGTTCCAGTACGCTTTTAGTGACTGTTTTTTCTACATTTGCCGGGTAAAGATGTATTTATGGGTAGCGTCGAGATTTGCTTCTAGGTAAAGTTGATTGATGGGGTAGTAGCAAATGCAAAGGATAAAACGTTCAAATATCTGGCGATAATTAAAGAAATAACAAGCATGTTCTGCGTCTTAAATGGAGAAGCCCTATTAAAGTCGAGGTTATTGCTGACCGTTTTATAAATCAATCTCGTCTGCCAACAGCAGCTTTGTGGTAAATTTTAAACTGCATTACAAGCACAGTTAAATAAAATCATATCATTAATTTATGCTTACCTTGGCACACCACCGTAAAGCAGTTGAAAAGATGGTGATTTGCCGTAAATACACAGTAACCTTATTTGAGTAGGAAATAAGACATTAAATTAAGCAATTTGCTTTAAGCAGGAAGCTGTGAGCTTTTAAACTTTTAACATCTTTTAGAGTAATAGTTTAATTACTCCTTTGCCAGCATAATTCATTTTCCTTTTTTTTTTTTTACCACCTGAGGTGCTATTAATATGAAACTCACTTTTTAATCGTATTATTTTGATATCTAATTAAGTTCTCAAATTGTTGCCACCAAATGTTATCTCCGTGTATTATTTAAAAAAAGTTAATACATAGTGAAGAATCTGTATGTGGTGTGTCTTACAGTGATGGAGCTACCAAATCTCATTCAGTACTTAGAATTTAATCAGAACAAAGTAAGGGCACAAGACTGAGTGTTCCGCCCTTTTCTTATGCGATATAGAGCTGAGCTAACTTCGAGGAATATTCTACATTAATATATGTTCCCTAAAAAATAGCTTATTTTAACCTTTGCATTGCCCTTGTAAAAGAAACATTAATTATGGAAATTTCCCAGTGAGATACGAATGTTCAACAACTTGCCTTCAGATTGAACTTCTACGAAGTCCTCACGCAATTAGCTGTTTAGTTGACATTTAAACTGTTCCGACATTCACGAGGTGATTTAAGATGCTGTGACGCGAGCATAATTTCCGGCAACTTGTGTCAATTACGATAACTAGTTGAGTTACACAGAGGACAGTTTGATCAGATAGGGGAACATGTACAAGAGGATCGAGCGAAATTGAACAATAAAGTTCTTGTCGCGAGGCAGTTCCGTAATTGGCTGTCGCGGGTCACCTTGCAGCATGTGGCAATCGCATCCGGTGGTTTTCTTGCGCTTTAAACAGTCCAAATGCGCAAAGATTGCCCAACTCTGGTGTGGAGGAGGACCTCAAGCCAGCAACGGAGGATTTACGAGCCACGATTTTGACTACGGAAGAAGGCGAAACTGTTTTTGCACGAAGGACGAGACAATGTACGAGGTAGAGAGAAAGAGAAGGTACGAAAAAAGAAGCGAGATCAGCATGTCCTCGTTTCAGTCGGCCCTTGGTGGAGATGAATTTTCCAAGAGAAATCTTAACTCGCTGGACCATTGCATTATGGAATGGAAAAGACATTTATGTGCAGCGGAAATGAAATTTGGCATAAAGTTTTGCAATGCGTGTTAAAAAATTTGAGGGATGGGTTTTTGTGTCATGCATCAGATGAAGAAATGGAGACCCTGGAAGAGGGGAGGGTAGAAATTTCGTAATTTAAAAACAGAGAATAGCAATAAGGCTTTCATATTCATCGATAAAAATACTAGAAGAACGGAAACATTTTAATATGGTTCAAATTCATATAATTCTTAAATACTTAAACTATGTAACAGATTTTTGAGAGCTGAATATTAATATCCTAATTTTTCTTATTGAAGTTTTATTTTTTTTATAAATTCGGTGATAAAGCTTATATACAAGGAAACATAGATTTTGACACATGCTTTAAATTTTAGAAATGAAGAGCAAATCGATCCAGAATTTGACGAAATAATTGTAGCATGCACTGGAAAACCAAAGCAGTCATTTTGCATCTAATGAACTATTTATTATGATTTAAGGATCTTGATATGTTAGTACTTACTTTAGCAATGTGAGAAATCCTAAACTATTATTTTTTTTGTACAAAACAGTTAGTAAGTTCCCAGCTTATTTCAAATCAAATTTTACACTTAGTTTCAGGTTCTCCACACCTTTATATGCGCCTTCTCTTTTTGATTTATTATTTAAAAAGGAAACATATGAATTAAGAATAAAGAAAAATTGTTATCTTTTTCCCTTCAAATTATTAGATTGTTCTTCATTTAAATGAAAGACTTCTTGCTTTCTTTTTCTTCTTTTGTTGTGAAGATTAGTGCGAGAGCTTTCGTTTTCTGATTATTGTTATTATCATGTTAAAAAAAATTAGAATCAAAAAATAAAAGTTTGGAAATTAGACGAAAATGTTTGTTTTTGCTGTTAGACAAAGATAGTGTTTAGAACATCGCACAAAGTTTAAAATTTGTTATGGCTTAGGATAATTTATTGTACTTGGTTGCTCTGAATATTTAGAAAGTGCCACAAAATTATTTATTTATTTTTATTAAATAAAGATATATTTTAAAATGAGGTACCCTTTTTAAAATTAATTTGAGTATTTATTCATATTCGTAAACTGTTTTACTACATTTAGAGTGATTATAAATGTTTACTTGCAGCTCTCAAAAAATCTAGCTAAGGCTCTTAAAATTTCTTCTCTAACATGTAGCTTCAATTGACATAACGTTTTGTCACCTCTGATACATATTGACTTCAAAAAAGGATACTTACTTATATTTTCTTTAATTCTATTATTTTAAAGATATTAGGCAATAATTACTTAAATTGATATTAAAATTATTATCATTATTATTATTTAAATTTATATAAAAATTATTATTATTTATATTAAAAATTTAAATTAAAAATTTTTCTTAATTAGAATGTAGAAATTTACTTAAATTTGTATTAAAAATTTGCTTTATTGCAATGTAGAAATTTACATAAATTTATGTTAAAAATTTTTTTATTGTAATATAGAAATTAATTTGCCTGAATTTACACGTATTGCTACACATTTATGAATATGAGGCGTTTGCTTCAAAGTTTGGAATTGGGCGTACTAGAATTTATTTTAGTTGCATCACTGTGCGTAATTGCTTCACTAGAATTTTTTTGAAGCAGGAAGACATAAAGAGTCATTGTTGCTCTCACAGGGATTCGAACTTCGGACCACCTGATTGCCAGCCGGACGCGTTTTCAAATTACACAACGAAAGGTCATGTTAAAGAAAGGAAAAACTGTTTACAATTGTCGCCGGAAATTATGCATAAAATAACGTAAAGAGAAACTTTGTTGGATAGAATATTAATTATTTTATGCGATATTCCTACAGTTACCATTATTTTATTGTACAGTTATCAAGTTAATCATAAATAACCTTAAATGAAAAAAAATATCTATTTCATATTTATTTCGGGAAAGAACTTGAAAATTTTAATTTACAATATGCAATAGGAACTATTATAACCTTGGGTTAAATTTGGAGTAGCTACAAAACGTGTCGTAATTAAATTCCGTATATACATGTTCGATCTTCTAAATTTTCAGTTAAAATAGCTTAACAGCTGTTGTACAAAATGAAAATTAACATTAAAATAAATTTTTACATTCACTAGTTTAAATTCAATGAAAGTAGTTCGCGGGTGTGTATATGTTACCTACAATGTATCAAAGCCCTTATAATACTTCGCCTTATAACAATTATTAGCTACAATGTATCAAAGCCCTTTCTATAATATTCCACCTTATAGAAATGCGGGAGTACTATAGAAAGCCGAAAAATGGCCGGATATGTATGAAACGATTAACACTTCATACATTTCCTAGGCATCTATAAATTGCCTAATGATAAACCCGCAAAATATAAAATACATCTTCGTTTTATTTCGAACATTCATACATTTATACATTAATTCCATAGTACCATACATTTCATACATTAGTTTTTTTAATAAGAAAGGTGTAAATTTTGTTTTGGGAAAAGTTCACTTTTTTTTTATGTATTTTGAGTAAAATTTTCTTTTGCTATTTTGTTTCAAAATAACATTTGCATTTTTGAGGAATGCAAACCTTTTAAGTTACTGCCTTACCATAACATTTTTTTAATACTTTGCCTAAACAGCATTTGCCATTCTATAGAATGCTCTCTTAAGCATTCTATAGAATGACTCGAATCCCATGAACAGGCTAGCTGCAAGGGTGTTTTCATGTATTTTTCTCCCTCTTTCCAGCATGCCTTGATGGTGTAACGGTTAGCACACTCGGCGCGTATTCGAGAGGTAAAGGTTCCAGTCTCGGCGAAGGCATTGCCTTTCTGCTTCAAAATATCCTAATGACTCTACACGCCTAGGTATTGCATACAATTCCTAGGAAAAGTATATAATAATCCTCACATTTCACATTTTGTAAAAAGCGCCAGGAATTTTATAGAATGCAGGCGTTTCATACATTGCCAGTGACATATACATGTTTATATAAAGTTTGAGAATAATTTTACGTAAATTTAACGATTAAGTACATAAGAAATTTTTATCGGTATATTTTATATTAGAAATTTATTTTCGAAAATTATACAGTCTTAGAATATTGCATATTCCTTGCACTTAAAAAAAGATTTGAATTTTAAATCATTTCAAAGTTGTAGACTTTAAATGCCAGTGTCGTAAAAGTAATAGCATTCTGATAGATCAAAGTATTTAAACATTTTTAAAAAAATAACAGTTGTGTCTATGCCATATATACCGTAAAAAACATAAATATTAAATTTAGCCATAAATCTTGACCAAGCGAAAGTACTTAATTATACTAACTGGTGGAAGGAATCGATTTCGGAGTTAAGAAGCATTATTGCACTGTAGCATAAATTTGTGTCACAGATACTCTGAAGTGTATCTTCGTTGGTCTTCAAACAAAATGTAAAAAGTTCTATCGAATAAAAACAAAACAAGAAATAAGGAGAACTATCAATTGGAAGTTAAAGTACTTTTAATAACTACAACAAAGTTGCTCCAGGTGCTTTCAACAACATTATTTCCACAGTTACAAAACCATTTCGAACTTAATTAGACATGACTATATTACAATAACAGATCAGAAACAGGTAAAGATGTAGGTAAAAAATACTGCAAGGTATTTCATACATATATATGGGAAAATAATACTTGTTTCAAAGAACAATTGCAATATCGAGGAATACTAAACATCACTTCACATTTTGTCACATTTTAATACAATACAATAATATAAATTAAGTACAAAGTTCGATTTTATAAAATGAAGGCAACTTTCTATACAATAGGGTTTTCAGATTTTATCCATATTGTAACATTTCTAAGAAATGTAAGCTCATCTGTAAGTATCTTACAAAACTTTGAGGAAGGAGTTATAGTAAATATATATAAGGCGTTTGCTTATTTGCATTTCATTTTATGCAGAAAACTATTATTAATCTATAACAACAATTAATACAATATTGAATAATATATATCAAAAGATATATTATATATAGATATAAGAAACTATTAGCGTAGTTTAAGTTGTGAAAAATCCTTGTACTTATTCACAGAGCCACTGTACAATTTTCGACATTGCAGTACTAAAAGAAACTATCCATTAAAAATATTTGCTCCTGTTTAGAATATTAATTTGAGTGTAAAACACAGCAAAATCAATGCAGACACATGACTAATTGATTCTATTTAAGAAGTATAATCTCTTGTACAAGTAAGTTAATATAGATTAAGTCTCTGATATTTGCAGAAAAAAGCCAATGTGCAAATACCACAAGAGGTACAATTTTCGTACAAGAAATATAATATAATGGCAGTCCTTTAAAATAAACTACTGGTTTACGTTGATGATGTCAAAATATATCATTAATACGTGCTCAATTTATATAAACTTGAATTAAGTTTACGATGCATGTGATATGTATGCGCATTAAATTTTAAAACATTCGTTGATATTAAAGTAAAACAGATACGTAATAATTTTATGATAAGCTTTTTACATTAGTTTTTCATGGATAATTTGCTATTTGTTATAAATTATTGTAACATTATATATCCGTTATATTTCCATAAAATGTGAAGTTAATTTTTTTTTCGAATACCGGATATCCATGGATACCTACAGTTGCTCACCAATATTATTTTAACTTTACAACAGCATTTCTGTAAAATCAGTTTCCATATTTACAAACAATTGTGGTGGTGCAATGAATGGCGAATGCAAGAAAAACTGCTGTGGAATGTCACTTAATTTTGCTTTGACTTTACATTTTAAGAATAGCAATCTCGCTTTTGCAAATTAAATAAATTTTGCGTACGAAAGTAAGACCATAAAATGGCTATTTGCTTTGAGAAGATTTTAAAATATATACTTAAATTATAATTTTTCCAAAGCCGTATTTGAGATATTATGCATGATATTGTAAAAAGTGAACATTTTTGAAAAGTGGTAAAAAAATTTTAAAAAACAAAAATTAATTAATTTACTCACAAAATTCTAATTTTTGATAACTTTATTCTACGTCTTTAAAATGATTGAAAAGAAGGAAGTGTAGTCTTTAAGAAGACATCAGTTTTAGTTTTGGTGGGAAACGATTTTATCTTCCATGTTTTAACACGGATGGCTTCACATGAAGTCAGTTTAGAAGGATCAGTTTAGTTGTAAAAGCAAGAGCAACCAGGAGAATATGAAGATTCATCTCATCAGATGAACCAAAAAATAAAGAATTACCAAACAAGGTATTTGATTTGAGTTAAGCCTCAAATTGCTCCTGTTGTTGTAATGTGGATCAAATCAAAATTTTATCGAATACTTTAACTTTCGAAAACGAAAAACGTGACTGTAAAGACAGTTCATTGAAGGGTGGGAAATGCATGTTTATGCATGTTCTCAAGAGATTAAATTCTTTGCATACAATACTATCGGTTATTGCTATTTCCGGTATTTTTCTGCAAATAAAGGTTTTTGATCAGTATCATTTTTAACATGAAATATATTGCATATGATATGGACAATATATTCTGAAGGTAAAATACGGGATTAAAATGCATACGAATAATTTATGACAAACATCAAATTTAATTGGGGTAGCAATTTATCACGGAAAAAAAAAAGAATTCATCGGTTTTATGAAATTTCACAGATTAAAATTTGCGTAAATAATAAAAAAAAAAAATTGCATTTCAGTAGCATTTGAAATGAAAAGCGTCTACCAGATGTCAAAGGGATAAATACAAACAATAATATCATGTTAAAGATTACCAATTAATTAAGCGGTATTTCGAAACGTTATTGCATATTCACATATTTTTTCTTTAATGCAGTATGTTATTCTGTAGCACATTCTCAAAATGAGAAATTAATGTTCAGCATTTACACCATTTGTGATTGCTATTACACTATTTGCTGTTATAAATATTCAATGGCGATCTTGTATTGCGTAGTAAAATTGTTTTTTCGTATTGGACGCATGTTGCCTGATACATTTTTGAATTCTAATTTAAATTCTAAAATAGGAAATTTTATGAAGATGGCATTGGAGTTTTTAAATGTAAAATCTATCTAATAAATATATTAGAAATAGCAAGAAAAAAATCTGAAATCAATAGTTACATTTAACGTTATAGAATTTTAGAAAAATATCCTAAAACAGGCTAAAGAAATCACTGAAATCTCCGACATTATAAAATTGTTACTCTAGCTATATATATTCATAGCTTCTTAATAATTAGGAAAGTTAACTACCGGCCATGTATACTCATAGAACTTTACTGGACATAACCTGTTTTTAAATATGAAAATTCTATTCTGGTTAATTATAACATTGTTGATGGTCATATTTCTTTGCTAAATCTGGATGCAGATTCAAATGAGGGGAAAAAAAAAAAAAGAGCTAGAAATATTCTCAAGTTAGAGAAATGTAGTCTTGAAATTTAATAGCCTTATTGAATATTTCACTTTTTTGCATAATTGTCGATCATTTTCTTTACTCATAATTAAATTTATAGGATAATTTATATAAAAATTCCCGAATTTATGTTAATTCAGACGTAATCCATGTTTTTTGTGCATTTGATTTAATTCTCCTTCCTCGTCAATCTGGTAAGCTCAAACAGTGTTCTAAGTTTTCAGACCCAAGTAATTTTTTAACTACACATGAGACCTTAGAATAGATATTATTTACTATTTTTTTCTTATTGCTGTCTTGAAAGCGTTTCAAATGAGAGAGAGAGATGATGCACGGAAGAATAAATCGGTGGTAAATTTGACTAGCAGGTACCGTATAAAGAATACAGCCATTTTTTTTTCTATGTGACACCGGTTCATCAATATATGTACTGTTTAGTCAAGTCAACATAAATCACAACTTCAACAAGAGCCTCCAAATGAAATATAACGAATATTGAAAATACCTTTAGTAACTACGCATTATTCATTTTCATATCCCATACACGTTAATATAGTTACTAATACGTCATACGTGTTAATATTGTTCGGAAACTTGTAAAATTTCTTCAAATATAATTTGCATGTTCAAATATAATTTGCAATATTCAGATTTCTGATTATACATATTTCTATGCGAAGAAATGTCCTAAAACTAAAAGTTAAAATATAACATTTAATGAATAATAAAAATGGAAGATTTCATACTATGACCTACATTTACTGATTTCATACTATACTTCAGTTACTTGTTTATTTCAAGAAGAAAATAAAAATTAAAATATAAGTAGATTAAACTAATATTTTGCTCTGAATATGATCAGATAATTTACCAATATATTTATCTATATATAAGTCAATTCCTGAATACACAAATATTATTCCACTCTTCTGAAAACCAAGTCAAGAAAATTACTGTTCTCCTAATCTGCGTATTATTCCCGACGAAAATATTTTTGTTAAATTGATAATTTAAAATATACTGCGATAATATTTTTTGTCTTATATTAAACTCCAATGCACGCACACTTATAAAGAAATAGTGCTTTGATAACGATAATATTTTATAAAAATATTGTAATTCCAATCTAAAACATGCATTTTATATTTAAAAGTTTTTCTTTAATTTATAAGTATTTGAATTCACTGTAACATTTAAAGCTGTCACAGTTAATCTATTACAGCTAAATTGCAAATATAGTCCAAAGTATCATTTTAGTACTGTGAAACGAAAGCTCGTAAAAATTGAGATCTCGTTTAAAAAAAAGCTTTACTTCACAATCTAAAGACGGATGTCAAATGTAAATACCACTAGGTGCTATCCATATTACACTTAAGTTGTTATAATGGACTTTATACATGCATAAATTAAAATTCATTTAACAATTAAATATGTACATTATGTTAATATTTAGCTTAATTTTTTATTGCATATACATATTATTTTAAGTGTTAATTTTTCATTATATTCATATATTTTCATAAAGGTTTATTTTATTTTAAAAACATATGCTTCTAAATACCACAAATATAGCATTTTTTAAAAAGCATACGAAACATTTGCATATTCACTAAATTTATTAATTAAAGAAGCATAGAATTTTCTAATCCTCTATTACATTGCTTGTTAATTAGCGCGTAAACATAAATGGAAATATTTATTTTCTTTAAAATCTCTTTTTATAAAGATGGCAAAGGAGACATATACTCAATCTAAACATAAAGAATTTAACAAACTATTTGTGGTTTTTGTACTTAGCATTAATTTTTAGATTGCTAAAGTAAACTAAAACACAGTATTTCACAGTAGCTCCTTGGAACTTTGAAAGATTCATTGAAAGGAGAAAATGTGTGTCGTAGTGTTTTTGACTTAGGTTTGATTTCAAATTATGTTCCATTAAAATGATTACTTTATGCATTCATCGGATCTATATAGAATTCAATTGATGACTCTTTGTTGATGATTTATAAGCATATCACATAGCTTATAAATGTTTCACATAAATAAATTTTTATTTAATCTTTACTATAAAATTACTAATACTATAAAATTACTCATTATAAAATTTATAGAACCTTAATATACACAGTACATACATATGATTTTCAATATACTTTTCTTAGTAAAACTCATCTTTATAAACTGGATGCATGTATATTTTACACACACTTATTTATGATGGCATTTCTTAAAAAGTTGATGGAAGACTATGAGACTTAATGATCTATTAACAGATTTAATGACAGACGTATTAACTCATAAGACTTTGATCACGGCACTTCCACGTCAGAAATGTAGAGGACACAGCAGAACTTCAAATATCCGGACTGCATAGGACTACAGCCTACCTAGACAATTGAAAAGTCCAGGTAACTGATGTTATGTTTGTTTCTGTAATCTATATAGCTATGTCATGTAAAGGATGGAATTTTATATATTTATTTATATTTTTAATCATATTTATTTCAGCACACATTTTTACTAATAAAATTAAAATGTAAGACTTTATAATGAAAAATTATTATTTTATTTTAAATTTATTTTCCGTGAAGCAAAATACAAACATATATTTTTCAACAAAAATTAAACGATGGAATTATTTTTCCCCTAAACCCACAACCCCTTTCTGGCGGTCACTTATAATTAAATTAAGACATTATTTTCTGATACAAATAGAGAAAATGACTGACGTATTAACTCATAAGACTTTGATCACGGCACTTCCGCGTCAGAAATGTAGAGGACACAGCAGGACTTCAAATATCCGGATAACATTAGTAAATTTTTCCACTTACAATTTGTAATAAATTTATAACTTTATTGGTTGCTTTAGTTAGAAAGCTAGTTTTTTAACCTTAAGGAAAAGGATGCTGTACGGTATTATTATTTTATTGCTTGAAAACAAAAAATCAAAAGCATGTAAATAAATGAAAAACAAATTTGTTTTTCCAGAAGAATGTCATTCTGAATAACTGGAGTTCTGGATTTGTGGAATCCGGATAGCTGGAGTTCTGTAATTTTTTGGGGGGAGCTAGTCTTAAGAGTTGTTCACACAAATTCACCAGGATTGTTAGACAGACTTCACAATAAAGGGAGATTATACTCTGAAGCAACCAGTAATAATGATAATAATAATAATAATAATAAAACAAATAAGAATTTTGTCATAAATCTCTCGCACACTTCGAAACACGGAAATAATACAACAAAAATGGAATGTCTGTATGAATTTATGAATTAACATTAAACGTCTCCTTACATCCACAATCGCACATAAATCTACTGGAGAAAAAAAGAAAGAAAAAATGAGCACACTCGAAATACATATTTCGAACAAGACAAGGTCCTTCCAGCCCATCAACAGAAACCTACCAACCTTCCGTACCAAGGTTGGACGTCGGCTTAAATTTAGCAGTTTATCAAGCATTTGTGCCAAAGACATCAGTTAAAGCTCTACCTTATTTCCATACCATTCCAAATTACTTATTCTATAAGTAATTTTTTATGACCACGAGAAAACTGCATTAATTTCTTAAGCTATGTGAGCTTCTCTACTTAATGAAAGAATTTCAAAAAGCTGTCTGTAGTATAAATTCTAAATTACGAATTCTAAAGTACTAAAAATCACATTTTTCCTGTTTGAGCACAGTGCTATAGCGGTAGGTTTCTGTTTAAAAAAATATAATATGGAAGTTATTTAATGTATATTTAACACCTTGTTTTGCAAAAATATGTAAATAGATCATGCAGGCTGCCACGACGTGTTTGTAAAAATCCACCGAGAAACTCCTATTATTTTACATTATACAGTTTAATGTACAATTCTCATGTTCTCAAAAAGAAGAAAACTACATAAACTCTCAAGTCATTTTCACGTTTTTTAAATATGAATCCTATTTACATATTTTTCACCAATAAACCTTAGAACGATGCAGATGTATATATTGGCCTTTCCATATTTTATTGCACATCATCACTGCAGTAAATGTAACTTCCTTCAATGATTCTCACTAGGAAAAAGAGAGTTTATACACTATAACTAACATTACAATCCATTACACTTTTGAACTTCAAAAATTTCCTTTGGATTTACACCTTTTACATTTTTGCAAAAGTCGGATAACTATTAAAGGCACCACATTTTGCACTGATCACAGACGTTGAAACAGTTTTACAATGCTTTTGGTTGAAGCTAATTTTATATTATAGTTTCAGTTTGCTCCCAAGCATTTTATTTTCAGGACTATGTTACTTATATTATTATAAAAACATACGATGCATGTGAAACTAGTATTTAAGAAATTTATTTCAAAAGTAAAATGTTTGATTCGAGTTTCGGATGAAGGGTAGGGTCTGGATTACATTCTGAGGCGAAAATTATAATAAAAATTTTAATTAATTGCAATTCTATAATAGCGTTAGTTACTGACAAAGTATTCAGTTTATTATAATATAGTTAGAGTTGTAGTTAGAGAATAATCTTGTAGTTGAGAACATTTTTAAAGGAGATTAGTTTTATTTCCTTATATAATGCTTTTCTCTTTTTCACTGCAGTGAGATTACTTGGATAGGCACTCCGAAGAAAGGCACTGGTTAGGTGTGTCACACACCAGCTCTCATTGAGACTTCTATACAGAGTAAAATGTGAACATTTGTTTAAAATTATAGCATAATTTGCCTTGCTTCAGACAAAGCTGCTATGAGTCCTGAGTTTTCACTTTTCGAAGGAGACGGCGACGTTCCATAAATTGTTGAAATGTTCGATGTACCTGATGTTGCTCGGGCAAAAGAAGGTAATCCTTCCATAGAGTTATCCATAGGTAAGCCCATGAAAGATTTGTCTGTATTAGAGTTCTCACTCTGAGCTTCAACGTACGCGTGACCATCTGCACACTGGTAAGCCTCAGAATACTGCGGCGGCATAATGTTAGAAGGTACTTTGAGGTACTTCTCAAACTCATTTCTGTCGACATCGTCAATGCATTCGTTCTCCGGATATGGTGGATCAGGAAAGTAACCACCTTCTCCAGCTTGCGAATAGCGGCCTTGTTGATAATAATTGGAATTTTGGTAAAGGGCAGTAGATACAAAAGGGTTATAAGGGGGCAGCTGGCGTGGCGGTTTGACATCCCCAGCAAAACTGTATGAATAATTGCAAGAACTCCTCTCTTCTGGTTCCTGAGTTTTGATTCCAGTATGGTGAGAATCGGAAGACATTATTTCAGTCGCCATGGAGTAGTGAGGTAAGGCAGACATTGAAGTTAAAGCGGCATAAGTAGCAGCTGGATTACTGCTGGACGCAACTAGATCTCTTAGAGTCATGCCGTTCGCTGGATGATGAGATCCCCGAACGGGGAAAGGTGGACGGACGTTCTTTAGGAACTTAGAAGAATCGCTAAATTGCGTGATGAGTTGCGTTACTGGGTTTTCTTTTGTCTCACGTCGCTCCTGACCTCCCTCCTTCTGAGCTGAACCTTGGAACAGGAACCCGTCCTGATCTCGGTCGATGGGAGACATTTCTGGTGTTGGTAAAGACCGGATTGAATCTGGGCTAACATTCGATGAACCTGAGATATCCCCATTACTAACAGCGTGATTGGTGCTCATGGGCATACCAACGAAATCGGGATACCTGTAGCTGTCCATCCTACGGGTTGCATTAGCCTCTGAGCAGGGGCTGCCATGGGGAGAAGAATCAGGAGTCTGAAGCCCACATACATCCATTCCTGCTATCGAGGATGACCTACCATTGTTTCCACTATATCCGCCCATCAGATGACTACCACCAGGCGGAAATGAGTAAGAAGGGGATGGTGATGGAAGTGGCATCTGCATAAGTGGAGGTGAGGCTGATGCGGCAGCTCCTTTCCGAACGCTGCCTCGTTTTGTATTTTTTCTCCTTCTCGGTCTGTACTTGTAGTTGGGGTAATCATGCATATGCTGTACTCGAAGCCTCTCTGCTTCTTCGACATAGGGACGTCTGTCTTCATGACTCAAACCACGCCACTTTTTACCTGAAAAGAATAATAAAAGAAACTGAATATTTCTCCACAGTAGTGATATTTACTATTTTAAAACAACATTTACTATTTCAAAAAACAACAAACAACCTACATTTATAACAAAAGGATTTCTAATTGGAAACCATTGCACTACATAAACGGGCTTTTAATCTTGTATGTACATATTTACACCCTTCTTCTTTATTTTTCCATCGATATTTAATTTACAATGAAGTAACTTGCAATGCAATACAGCAGTTTTCCGTAATAAAACTTCCATTTATCAAAGATTATTTTTGTTGTATTCTTTGCCATTGATTATTGTTTTTTTTTCTCTGCTTTCGCCCCCCACCAAATAAAATTTGCTAAAAGAGAGAGGGGGATTAACGAGAATAAATGCATAAAGCAGAGTTGCTTGTTTAATAATGTCGAACATATCCTGAAATATGTTGAAATATCTACCCTGAAATCTGAGAAAATTTTAATGGTGTAATTGGTGTAATTAATTATGGCAAAGCACACGAGGGCTATCTGCCTAAAGGGAGGGATGCATTCGTAGAGGACTTTCTAAGGGAAACTGGCTCGTATCACGTTACACACAACTCGAATACACGTTACGAAAACACCCATGCAGCCAGCCCGTTCGCGGGATTCGAACCTCGGACCGAACTACCAGTGTTCAGCGACTTTGCCGCTCGGCCGCTGGTGGGCCCTGAGAAAATTTTAACTGGTGTTTTAGTTTATCACAAAACGCAAAGATTTTGATGCTGATGGCCACATTAATAGTTTCAGAATTAATGGCCGCATTAATAGTTCATTTTCTTTACAGATATTTTTATACGTATAGAATTCATGTAAGGGAACTGATGTAAACACGCATATATTTCAAGAACGCATGTACAGCATATTTACATCTCTTCCTCCGTTCAGTATTATCTATATATAATCTGTACAGATGATAGTGATTATAGAAACAGATAAGTACACCGCAGGGATAAATGTAAAGATTTCATTTTTCGGCGAATAATGATCTAAAGATAATACTGCATATATTTTAAAACATTATCAAAGATTCTGCAGAAGATATACAGGCATTTCCCAGTAAAATTAAAGAAAAGTTTGAAAAGATTCGAATTTTAATATCGGGGAATTTGTAAAGATTTTTTATGCTGTTGCTGAGTACAGCAAGTAGCCAATCTGCTTTCGGAATCACTCCTGTTAAGAATTTTTTATTCTTTCTTTTTAGCTTTATTATTAAGCATCGCTTTCTTCGTACTCACGCCACACAAAATTTAACAACATAACCATAAAATATTAAAAATAGCATATCTTAAGAATTTTCGATAGAGTGTTAGGAGTTGCTTTACATTGATTTTTTTTTTTTTTTTTTTTTCCATATATTCGCTACATTATTTCTCTGAAAACTAGCCTCTCGAGCGGCCACCCGTTTAAAAGAGTTATATAAAAAAAAAAAAAGTATGTAAAACTCTGGAGCTAAAAGGTGTATTGAAATATCGAATTTGGTATTATTTACTCTCTATTTCGCCTCCCAACTTAACTTTTAGGTACTTTTATTCTTGCAGCGAAACTTGAATTTCAGTATTATTTAAAAAATATTTTCCTTTAAGTATAGCTTCAAAAATTATCTCTTGAACTGAGATTCAGAGATGCTTACGTGACATTCTCGAAACTGCTGATTTCTTTAGCAGGGAAAGAGAATAATGTTTTTTTGAAGAGCAGTGTGTCAAGAAATCAATCACATGGATACGATTCTTGAAGTACAGACCGGTTCCCTTTCTGGCCCTTCTCGTGACCAGAGCCGCCCTAAAACTTTTATTATTACTACCCTCTTTTTTTCCCCTGTCAATTCTCGACATCTGCTGCATAAAATAGATCAGAAAGAGATCACACTAATGTGAAAGTGAGCAGTAATTACTCGCAAACTAAATGGTGGTTCATTAAATCTGGCTCAAGAATGGTTGGAAGGTGCCGAAAGTATGGATTAATTTTTAGCTATGTCTTTCCCCCCTTCCTCCTTGGTTACTTTTCCCTTGCATAATTATAGAACGTACGAAATGAGGCCTGTTTCTAAAGTATAAAGGAATAGAAGCAAAAGAACAGGTTCTCAGCCTGCATCAGATATATATTAAATATATCAGTTTTTCCTCAGATTTTAAATATACGTCGAAAATCATCAAAAATAAAAAGAATAATTATTATTGTGTCCATCTCAGCACAATGGGCAACGACATTAAAGATAATCTAATAGTTATTAAGCTTGCAATAGAAACATCGGGTAAACATATCGAAAATGTTTCCCAAACTGCACAGTATGTTTTCAAATCCTTATAAAATATTTAAGTGGAAAATTAAAAGGTGAATAAAGAAGCAAAATATATGAAAAAAGCTTCGTTGAAAGATGCAACCAGATAATTCATCAAATTTCTGCTATTAAACTATCTGCCTTCGAGTCCCAGGCTCCGCAATGGCTTTAATAAAGAAACATTACATATCAAAAGATTTTCAAATAAAAACGTTTTGAATTACAGCATATAAACATACCGAAATCGAGAGAATCCTGCACTCTAATATGTAACTTTTTACAAAATATTATTTTTTAGAACACAATAAACTGAAATTAAATACTGTTACTATTTATAAATAGTATTAATAATATATCGTTTTCATTTATGTAAAGGTAACGTGCTTATATTAAAATAAACTAATACTTAACAAGCAGATGATAACACATAGTATGGCTCCATCTGTTTCAAAGTTAGAATCATAATCTGTTTCTAAAATGGAATCAGGATATTTATTTTGATCTAATAATAAGAATGATATGTTAACTTCATGTAAACGGTAATATTCTAAACGAAAAGCAGAAAATGATGCAGAAAAGCAGAAAATGCAGCAGTCTGAAATATGAGCCCATTTTTGTTTTGTGATTTTTGACGAAATTAATATTTCCCTTTTTATTCCCTTAAAACTTTGAGATTTACGTTAATTTAACAAGTAAGTTAAGATTTTGCCTAAGCACACGAAATGAAAGCTAAACTTTTAAGGATAGAAAATAGTGCTATAAATATTTTGCTGCTGATGGACTTCACAATTTAATTTTCAAATTTTTATACATAGTGACTTCCTGGTCTTTTAATCTTCCTAATTTGTGGCCGAGAATAGTTTGGTGAAAGACATGGAAAACGTCAGTGGTTTAATTAAACTTCACAAGATTTTTGGGCTTTATTGTAACCTCTTAGCAATTTTAAAATCTAATGCTGAGAAAGGTTTAGCTGCTTATATAACAAAGATGATGAAATAAATTAATGCTAATACTGTCTTAATTTTTTACATAGAACTAAAAATAGATCTTTGTTTATTTCAACAAAGATAAGTGTTCGATTTATTAAATATTTAGTTATAGTATAATTACAGAAGGATAAACAACGCTTCACACAGTAATAATTCCGTTTTATTTTGCAAAGCATTTATTATAATAGCTTTCTGAATGGATACGTGTTTCCTTTCCGTTTAGTGGCAGATGTTAATGCAAAATATCATTTATAAAACTTTCATTTTCTTAATATTTCGAAGGCATTATTTGGTAAACATTTTACCTTTAAAATTAATATGCACAGTGACTGTCTCAACTCGGCATTAGTAGGCAATTCTTCCTTAATTTTATATTTTTCCCAGAGAAATCTCTCATATATTGTGCTTGCGTATGTTTTAAAATACTATTAAAAAATGCCTTCCTCAGTCAGCAATCGTTACTTGAATTTTTCCATCATTATCCACGCAAAGCTTCAAATTCCCTCGTAATTAACATCATTACCGATGCTGTGTCAATATATAATCAGCAGACACAGGGCTTCAATGAAGTTAATTCTCCTTGCCAACTTACTCACATACACAGTTTTCATAACGTGAAACTTTACAAAGGTAGCACTTTTTTTATCTAATAATTTCTTATAATAATATAATAATATAATAGGATAATTCTATCTATTCAATATCATGCTTTTTGTATGTCTCCTTATTTAAAAAATTTCATGAAGAATAAAATGATTAAAAAAGAAACCCAACACTTGTTGACTTAAATATCAAAAACTGACTCGTTTGCAGACTTCCTTGAGGTTGGGAAAATAAATAATTTTTGAAACATTTTCAGTATAATTAAATGATTTCCTCATTCCCATTTTTTTTTTTTTTTTTTGTTTTTTTTTTTTTTTTTTTTTTTTATATATATATATATATACAAGGAGGTGAGATTTCGAAGATTCGATTGTAGTATCCGAATGATAACATTAAATGCAATCACATTAAATTAAGACTACAGAATAAAGCGAAAATTATCAGTTTTAATATATTCTAGCAACAGAATCATCAATTATTATAAGGTATGCGTTGTTAATAAAACTCGTCTGTCAAAATTCTAGTACTGAGCTGTTGTTACGAAATTATTATATTATTGCTAACATATAGCCTTCGCACATCTGAAACTGCAATAACTTTTACGTTGTAATCTTATCTCCAAACGTGTAGCTTTAACTATTCTGCGCCTTCGTAGGCTTTGCTAAAGATCCGGTGACAAGTCGCGACAAAGGAACAACGCACTTGTTTACAAGATGTGTCTGCTCGAAAGCGAGCATCTAAAAACAAGGTTGAACAAAAGTACAAGGTCGACTTACAAGTGGTGTCTCGATTTACCCCCAGTTATCGGCTGTAGAAAGAGTTGTAGGAACAGATTAACGCAAATAAAAATAGATAAATAAGTGGCCAAACTGCGATAAACAGTCGATCTGGAATTTATGCTCTGTCACCTTTACGATCATCGATAATAGAAATCGAAATTAGAGCCACTTCTCTTTATGACATTGATCGATAAGTGACGACATTGATGACACTGCAATAACAGAAATTGCAGTCTTAGAGTCTTGCACACGAGTAATACTTTAGTCTCAGTTCTTGATAATCTCTTAAACTTCTTCCAATTTTCAGAATTTATATTA